TGTAACACAAGTGCAAAAGGCCTTTGCTGCACAGTTACACAAATAATTATTTACCCGCAACGCAAGTACGGTACAAAAATGGCAGTTTTTGCTGCAGTGTGACGAGGAATAAACTCCTGTAAATAATTCCTTGACAATGAAAAATAAAATAAAACTACTGTGCTACTTTTGATACAAAACTTTCTCTATCAATAAAAATAAACTGTATCAACAATCTGATACATAGTTTATCCCATTACTTTGAAATCCCCTTTCTTGGATCTATGACATTTTACTGGCTGTTACCCATGGGCTTCAGACTTCTATGGATAGGTAGGGTAAATCACATAAGTTAAAATCACTTTTGTACCGTAATTCAAAAAATAATTTGGTTGCACAGTTTAGTTAAAAGTTTAAAACAATGTAAAATATAAAATGTTTATCAAAATAGTTTGGGATGTTTTAATACATTTAGATTTCCGGGTGGAATGGCCTCTGGATCGTCTGAATTAACTAAATAGTGGTTTAAATTACCTTGTTATTGTCAAAACGATCCTTTGTAGTTAGTAAATGTAAAAGTAAATGTTTCGTATTTCCGTGTGTTATGTGTTTTGTTGTCTATTTATTATTAAACTTTTGACGAACTCCACTGCGAGGAATATGAAGACTACTTGACATTCTTCTGACCCGATGATGTGTCCATTCGAAGCATGAAACAGCTGTAGTCTTACTAACTACAAAGGATCGTTTTGACAGTAACAAGGTAATTTAAACCACTATTTAGTATTTTATGGGGTTTTATGGGAAAATCTATATTAAAAATTAAATAAAAAAAAAAATAATAAATAAAAAATAAATTATAAAACATAAAACTAATCATTTTTACCTACGACCGTTTTTAAAACTAGCCTTTTCAGTGGAGTTCTGATAGTTGAAAAGATATATACATAACACAATAAAAAGTTCCTAATCCGCTGGGCAGTTCGCAAACGGACGGACTATAGTAACGGACCAACGAGTTTAAAAGATTTAGAGAAAATAAGTCAAATTGTAATGCTTCGAACGTCAACTTACTAGATGGAACGACCGATTTAATCGTTAATGATGGGTGCAATTAGTTGTTGGTAAAATGAGTTCTTGCATCTGGGGCTATAGAATACAGGGGCTGGCTCAAATCAACGAGTGGTTCCACTGCCGCGTGGCTGTGACGTAACCGCACGCACTCCAGGGTGAGCAGGGACCAGCGCACGGGCTCATTTACACGCTTCTCTCTTCCCTGAATTTACAAAATTTTTGTTCATATAAAACTTATATCGTTGTAATCTGCATCAAACTCCGAGTGTGGGGCTAAAAACTGTTTCAGTTATGATTAGGCGTAATAATAACATTTTTATCAACGAAAATATACCCTTTCTTAGGAGTCAATTAGTAATATGACACAGATTGATAGTAATATAAGATACGGTCGTAGGTAAAGTAGTGTACGCAACACGCGTAAATAGTCTTTACGCGATTGTTGTGTAAACTACGATTTTTAGTATTCACTTATGCTGTAACATGACCATATTCTCGTATAACACATATGTACCATGCACCATGTAATGCAGTTGCTTATGATACTTACGACTCCAGATAATGACGAGTAGTTGGTTCGGTAGGAACGCTTGCACCAGGCGCCGTCTGCAACCACCGTGATGAGCGGGACACCGTCCTTGTCGACCTCATTGAGTTCCCGGGCCAACCGCGCCTCCTCAGCCGCAGCCTCTTCCATCTCAACCGCCGCTGTTGCTGCCCATCCCACTGACAGTTTTTCTTCTGTCTTCTTGAAAGTTTTAAAACTCATAGGGGGAATATCAAGAGTGCTTAGGAACTCCTCGAGTTGAGCATGTCCACCGCCGGTTGTAACTGTACCGCAAACACTAGCACTGTTCACATCCATAAGTTTTTCGTTGATCTCCTCAGACCAAAGAGTGGTTTTAAATTTGCACATGGCACATTCAAAGACAAATCCATTTCTTAGTCCATGTCTAACCTCAGATATCACTTCCATGTTAGAAAAATTGCAGCCGATGCTGGGGTTGTGGACGTTCAGCACTTTTATTTGTTTGATAAAGTCGCATATGTTCACTAAGCGCCTGCCACTCAGCCGGTATTCTTTTTTCTGCGATGTTGTTTGTTGATCAGTTGAATCTTCAATCTCTTGCTCCAACGATGGTTTAGCTTTCATGGCACTCATCAAACTGGAAAACACATTTCAAAACATTAAAAAACACAAGTTATAAATTATATAATTTACATATATATATAATATGCACTTATTCGTTAATAGCAGTTTAGACGATGAGATCATACAGATATGTGTTCGATTAAAACATTAAACGTCTGGCATTGTTATAAACTATTTTCAGTAAAGTTCAGTTACAGTACAAGGAAACCAATAAAGTGTGTGTTTTTTGGTAAAAAATAATAGCTTGGTATAAAAAAAAATAAATTTCCCAAGTTTGGTCAAAATATGTCAATAAACAAGCAAACTACAACATTGTACAGTATTCTCCGTAAGAATAACATGGGAATTTTAAATTTAAAATTTTTTGAATTTTCTCCGTTACCAATAACTGTACAAAAACACTTGTTATTTTTTTTAAGCTCTTTAACAAGGTCTAGCGATAAATTGGGAAGGGTTGGGTTTTGATATCAAAAAGGAGAACAACCAATTTTTACCCCATCAAACCCCGTTCCTATAGTCCGATCATGCTGGTTCGCGAACTCATTCAAGTTTATCTCGCCTTACATCTTTAAACCAAATTTCATCAAAATCGGACAAAAATTACTCCAGTTATCGCGTTGACGGACATATATATATATAAATCTATATATCTGTATATAAAGCCCAAAGTACCCACGAACTTTTGAGAAAACTACAAGTCGCACCCCCATAAACCATAATACTTCTACAGGGGAATTCGCTTAAATCAATTGAAAGCCAACATTGGGATACGGCATAAGCAACGATATACAACTCTCCGGGGCATAAGGCATGTTTAGCCAACGCCCACGGGACCAAACTTAGTATTGAAAGTAAATTCAAGAATTCTATTCACCACTAAACAACATGTGTAGGTTATATAATTGGTCTTGCCGAGAACTTGATATCTTTAACGTTTCTTTAAGCATGTTTAGATTTAAATTAAATAGTAATATAAACAATTGTTAAATGAAAAGTGCCAATTATTCATGTTAGCTGGCTGCATGTTGCATATTATTGCCTGTTTATGGTCCTTTGTTAGTGTATATTATTTATTTATTTATCTATAAGTAATATAGTTATCTAAAACCAGTTTCAAACTATTACAATTATTAATATTTCTTATGTGTATGTATCAAAGTCGTATGCTGTTTGCTGTAGGGTAGTTGTCGTGCATGTATTTATGTTATTGTGTATTAGTGCCTTATGTAATTGGCTGGCTGTATAAGAGCACATGATATAGAATTTTGAATTGTTAAATTGACTTGTTCTGTACTTACGTCCTTTGCTGATTCAACTTTTTCAAACAAGCAGGCACTCTTCTTTTCTTCCTCCTAGAAGGAAACCTCTTGCAATTTCCCATTGTTCCAAACTGACACAACTTACATTAGCCTCGAATCACAAGGAAAATAACATATCGCGCACTGTAACACGAACATCCACTAGGCCAATATAAACACGAATATCGTAGGTACTGTGTCCAGCTCCAGCGCGTGTAGACTAAACAATGCTACCTGCTAACAACCACACAGACAATCGCCGAGATAGGGTGAGGAGGAAATCTATAAACAAATACAGATATTCTCTCACACCTTTCCTGGAACTCCTCGCCCCTAGGAACGAGAATTTTCTAAAACATGATTTATGGCTAGTGTTTTGGATAAAATGGAGTCGTCGTATATATTTCTTGACTATACATCGATGCATAGAATACTTCATTTGTATAAGGAAACATATTTTAAATATAAACATGAAACAACTTTATAAGGTTTTATATAAGGATACGTGTTATAGTTAAAATTGAGACCTTTTTTTAAAAGATAACGAAACATACTTATTAAAATTAACTGTAATACGTTCTATTCAATTGGTTATTACAATAACGCGAGAAAAACATAGATTTATATCACAACGTTGCAGGTTAGATGTAGTTTTACAATTTCATTACATCTAGTGATAATTTAGGTAGTAAAAAAATATAAAAATAGGTTTTTTTTGCATGAGATAAAAAGCAATAATAAAATTAAACTATTCACACATAGTATTGACTAAGATATCGAGGTAAAAAGTATAATTATTTTAAATCATAGTTCAATTAGTTTTTCCCTATAGACCTAGAGACAAATTGAGCTAAACTTGTACAATTTCAGTTTGCGTTTAGATTATTAACAATGTATTAGGCTTGCATCCACTTCAGCGAAAGTGATTGGAATATCTGTCATGCTACTCATGCTTGGCGTGTTTTGTTTCTCAAGACTGTGCGACGCTAGTGCACCCTAGCGTAGGACCGCTGAACTACCTCAGTCGCTTGTCCGTGTGCTGCGGGACCCTTGATGACAAAGGTTTTTTAAAACGATCAAATTAATTACTCAGAGATTTTATTTTTTAGATGTGGTACACTCAAACAAAAACTGAAATATTCTAGTTTGTGATGGTACCAATTTCAATTACAAATATTAAAATATATGTTAGTTACAGTTGAACTAATTTACCGAAATCCTTATGGGAAATCAAATTACGTATTTCATGTATATAAAATTAAAAAACAACTTTATAATGGTTTATTATACTTTATATAGTAGCATATGTAGTGACAAACATTACTAGTGTTCCATTTTTTTTGTAAATGTCTATATATTTCCTGAAATAAGTAAAATGTGTCGCCGCTCCATGTTAAACTAGCGGGCAGCGCTGAGCTCGGGCGAGCTGGCTCCCGCCGCCTCTTAATTGTACACTCCTATGGGTATTTGTCATGATTTGGGAATATTTCCTGCAGGATCCCAAGATACTCCACCCAGTGCCTCTGAGAGTGACTCCTGCGCCAGACCTGCTGGAGTCTGAGGAACCCAAGAAACTAACGGAACAGCTGAGTGGAGGCGAGGCGAGTCCGATACGACCAATACAGCGGCCGCAGCCCAAGAAACCTGCTGGTAAATGTCCGCTGTACTAAGCCTAAGGTTTCAACATAATTTTTTGTTGTAGGTATATATAGTCAATGGTAATACTTACATGTAAAGAATTAATTAAATAAGAACGCCTTCGCAAAGGAAACGCAACAACAATGCGCTCCAGTATTGCGGTTATTGCCTTGACTCTCTGCAGGCAGGACGAGATTTAAAATTTCCCGAAACTTCAAGACTTGTCTATCCCTTCTTCTCGAGACTTGTCTATCCCTTCTTCATTTTTGTTAGAACACAGTATAATTAGAGCAGAACTAATAGAATTTAGGTTAATTTATGGATTCCTTAAAAACCATGGCCTGAAACCATCGTTACCAAAAACATTGGATTTTATTGTTATATAAACTCAACTAGATCAACACCATCTCATGAGCAATTTAAGTTCCCTAGTAATATTTACTGGACAAAGTGTTCTCAAAATGAAAAGTTGATTTATAATTTTGAGGCTATCTTTACCACTTAGCCTATTCAAAAATCAAACGTATTAGAGATAAACATATATTGGTGAAAGGTTTTGTTCTCAAATTCAGCATATGCTTTTACAACTGTGAAATAATTTGAATTAAACAATTAATTTATATTCTAGCACCAGGGCCTGGTGCAATACCTCCACCACCTCAGCCAGTCTTGGACGATGTTACAAAGTGAGTTTATATTAATTTTTGTAGTTACATTGTTAGTCAGCACATATTAACTAAAAGCTGTAATAATCTATTTGTCACCTGATATTTTGTGAACAGTAATTTTCATTCATTAGCATGTGTTTGTGGTTGAGATTTAATTCAGTTGTTATCAGTACGTTTTCGACGGGTCGAAACAAGAATTAGTTGTTTGATTTCTTAGGCAGAATTCCTTTTGTCTCCTGTGGAAAATACTACTATATGCAATTTTAGACCTGTAACTTTTACTTCTGTTAAACAAATATATCATTTATGTTTTTTATAATTATTTACTCAAAAAAATAAATAAATTGTGCAGTTGTCAAATCCTTTCAATGTGTAGGATACGAATAAAGTTGATTTAATTTATTTAAATTCAGCTTGACTCTTGGATTCTGGAATTCAAAGAATATTACCTTTTAAAACCGTTTTGGGAAGATAAGAATATCCTTCAGCCAGTTATTATAATTGATGTTTAGTGTTGGAAAATATCAAAACATAAGTATCCCCATATGTTTAATCCAGGTCTTTTGAGAATAGGAGGGTATTTTTGTATTGGAGTACTACTACTAAAAGTATTATGCAATACAAAAATTGTTTACCGTATCACTGACCCCTGCGTTATTTCACCAATTAATCTTTAAAAATAAAATACCAAAATAGATAAGTCATTTAGGATTGGGGGAATTTTTATCGGAGAACTCATCCGCGGAACAGCAATACACTGATTCCTCTGGTTTGTCTGCAGCTCAGGCCCTGTCAGTTTGCCCACAACTGTACTCAAGAAGGAGCCTCCACCTCCACCCCCGCCACGGCCTCACCGCACACACACTAGAAGTTCCTCTCTCGACCTCAACAGGCTTGGTAACTGAACAGTAATCGTGTAATTTATAGTTGTGCTTGTTTAAATGGTCCCCGCTGATGAAACAGCTGTTCATAGTCATTAAATCTACAAAAGGAGCTCACTTATCCTACAACCCTTGGTATTATGTCGGGTAGTAACACCATAGACTAACCAACACAAGTAGACTTTTCATCCCATTGTAAATTTTGAAGCACGTTTTTCGTGTCTAGTTCATGTACGTGACACAAAGGCGCTAGTGTCGATGAAACTTTGTTTCCATTATTTTAGGGTTAATTTCTTTATTTGTGCTTTACTGTTTGGTTATATAACTAGGGGACAAGTTATTGTTTATGATTAGATCGTATTATTTGGTTAAACGAGGTTTTAAATGGCTGTAATAACGGGAAACAAATTGTAAACAAAACACGACCTCTACATAAACCGTACATGAACTAACAATATAATTGTCTACAGCTGTTCCATAAGGATGAGAAATCTACTAAGGGAGTATGTTTTATCTATGGTAACACTGAAGCCTATCCAAGCAATTGTGAGAACTAAGGGTGTGCAAAGCAGAAAAAATATTTGATTCAAAAGATTTTCTATTTGAATCGATAGAACTCGATTCGAAGCAATACGGCATTTTACAATTCATACTTGCCAATGAAGTGAAGTAACAATAGGCTAATTTAAATGTACTACATTCGTGTAATGCGAATTTTTGTTGATGTAGTATTAGGCCTATAAATACATATGACATATATGAATTTTGGGTGAAAAAATATTTATTTTCAATCATATATATTAGAAGAACCTGTATCGCTGGAAATGTCAGTGTAAGCTTTACTTGCATATTTCATAATTTTTACACGCAGAATCTTATTGTTTAGCATGTTACCTATTTTATAATATTTATTTTACAAATAAAGATATGTTTTGTTTTAAACAAATAAAAAAATTTGAAAGATATATACTGAAACTTTCAATTGGTTCACACTGATAAAATGAGAGGATAGAATCAGACCTACAAACTACAAGGAATACAAAGCAGACCTACAAAAATACCAAATTTATCAGTCTATAACATCAATCTTATTAGTTAAGTATAAAGTAACAATTTTACAGACCTGTGTTATTTTTAGAAAGATTTTGGAGTGACTTGTTTTGGCTACTACAGTAGTAAAAGATGTCTCACACTGCTTACACTTAATAAAACTTCTCATCATTTTCTATGTCAAAACAAAAAAATTTAAAACAATTAAAGCAATATTTACAAGCAAAGAATTAATTAATAATAAGAACGCCTTCGCAAAAGAAACGCAACAACAATGCGCTCCTGTATTGCGTTGACTTTCTGCAGGCGTTTTTCGTAAATGGATACTGACTCCCTCATGAATCGTAGCTGCGTAGCTTCTGTGCAAAAACAAAAAGTATAATTATTGGCCACTTGACCAATTAAGTTAATCTAAAAATGTTCTTTTGATTTGCTAAGGGTTAATTTATATGAGGTTGCAAATACACCTAGTTGCTTCCCTAGGTAAAAGAATAAGTGCAGGACTATGCAAAAAGAGTGTCAAAAAAGGTGAAATGTTTCGCATTATGACATCCTATGTAGGTTTTTAAACAACTTCCATAATTATCTAACCCTTCCTTCCTTCTTTCCTTAGTGATTCGGTGGCTCAGTCGGTAGCGTCGCACTTCGGGCCCAAGGCAGCGATATCGTGGGTTTGGATCCTGGTCACTGCCGATAACATTTTATCAGTACAGTTCACCTTTGTACTGTACCGGCTCACTCCTTGCTTTACTGTCAACAATCCATGCACGGGCGGTTAGTCTATATGGACGGGTAAATGCAAGGTTAAAAGAGGCCGCCAACCTCTTAAAAAAAAAAATCTCACTAATATTATTATACATATTTAGAAAGTATTTTAGTAAAATTCCATTCAGGTAAATGCAAATTCACATCGTTCGAGGTTTGCTCTGGGGGGTAATTTAACTCTATTAGAAATCTTGCTTAGCTATTAGTTTATTTGATCTTTTTTTTAATAATCATTTTTTTTTTTTTTTTCAGGTAAAAGTGGCATACTCACAAACATACCTCCAGTTCCTCCCAGGACATCACCTGGATCAGTAAGTTTATGTGATATAATAAATAATAAGCAACTGTCATTCCATTTATTAATCTTTTTTTTATTAATTCCATTATGATTTGGTAACCTACTGATAATTATTAAATAGCAACCCAGCAGACGCACAGGCAGCACCTGCCTATGTCTGCTGTATTTCATAAAATCATCAAATTAATTAATACGGAAATGTTCTTTTTTTATTCTTATTCTTAGTTTATATTTTGTAATTGTGAGTATATTTTGTATTAAAAAGTATGTTTCTTTCTGTATACATTATGTGGAAATAAACATATTATATTTCATTCATTCATTTAATTTATTCATTCATTCAAAGTAGGTAATGATTAAATTGATTCTTAAAATTGCTATTAACAAAAAATAAGTAGGCTAATTTAAATTTAGCTTAAATAAATGATAGGCTATTCTCATGTTACACTCTCCTGATTAGAAGGGGTACATTGTGAGATTCTCTAATTGAAGTTCTCATTTCATTTCATGTTATAAACCTGAGTTTATTAAAATCCAGGTCATACTATATCCTCTAGGCCAACTCCCATTTTCTAAGATTTCTCTTCACTTATTGAATAAAATGGTTTATATTACCTGCCGTCAATGACCCTATTGTCATCTTGGGCGACCGGTTTCCAGGATTAAAATCCCATTATCGGGCGGTTAAAACGTCATATCACTCGAATTGAGGTCGTCGGTAATCACAAAAACACACACATAAAACACGGATTGACATTGTACAAAGATATTGGCCAGTACAGGACACTACGACGCGACACAGGTAGATGTGTGGTCATGACTGAGGTGTCCTTGCTCCTCTCCTGTTATCTATGGAATGCCAGTGGTATTGTGCTATTCTAATCGCTGTGTCATAGATAATGTTGGACTTAAAAGAGGTCTGTTCATTTAAAATATGTTGTGGCTCATTCTTTATGGATTTGTAGATCTCAAATTCTTCTAAAGCAGTCTAAAAACCGTCCTTTTAGGGTAACTATGTAAAATGTGTAGGTTATTTATCAAGGCTAGAATAATTATGGTTACTGTCTGCGAGGTGGTTGGCCAAAGCGAATTTTTGCTGGACTATTGTTTTGGAATGAAGGTGCTCTTTAAATCGTTGCTTAAATGAGCGAGTCTAGCCTATATAGTATTTTGATGATGGGATTTTAATCTCAAAACCGGTCACCTAAGACGACAATAGGATCATTGACAGACAGGTAATATAAATAATTTTATTCATCTGCCCCTGTCACTCACCAAAGCTCCCTCTTGACTAGTCACTACTCTCCACTATTGCACTCCTCTCCCTTCCCACTGGCACTCCTTCACAGTTTTCCCCAACTCATGGTGTATATGGAAATGTACTGATGCAGTAGTTGAAAGGAAGGTTATTCATATTTTAGGTCGCCAGCCTCTTGTAAACAACAGATGAGCTAGTATTGTTGAACAGCTGGACTGATGAATTGTTAGGTGATGCCTCCAAGGCGCAAACCCTCAACATCGATGCTTTGTTTTTAGTTTGATGCACTACCGACTCAACCCTTCGCAGTTTTTTAAATTGTGATGTACTCAAAATTGAATTTTTTTAGATGTCACCCAAAAAGTACATCACTCATCATCACCAAGAAGGAGAGGCAGATCAGTCGACAGCTTTCGCAGACTTCGCTCAGTTCCCCGCGGAGACGAGTGATCAAGTCAGATCTCACGGGGCCTTCCAGGTGTACAGAAAACCAAGTACGTGTTACTTTCAGTTGTGTTGCCTTTACATCTATTGTGTTTATATAACTTTAGATTATAATTTTTTGTGGTAACCTAGAGTTGAAATCTTAAAACAGTTAAAACCCTTCCATAACAAAAAACTCTCTTAGCTATTAAAAATTGAAATAACTTGAGAAGAAGGGTGGAATCTATATTGTCAATCAGTATTATCAATTTGTAAGTTTATTTAAACAATATCTATTAGTTCCAGAGAGAAGTTCTCCACCGTTCAGAGAAATTCCTCCCACACCTTCCGATGGCAGGTAATAATGTTGGACTAATAATCGATTAATTAATAATCGTCTAGTGATTTATCAGTAGCCACATTTCATGTGTAGGTGTCAAAGCTGTGTTATAATGTTTTAAATACATTCGCTTCAGGCTTCTGTAATTGTACTCGTAGTACCCAGATACAGCTTGTGACACGTAAGCTGGCACTGATCCCTACTCCCTACTTCAAAAACATCTTGTCCCGTCATGCGGGTTGCGTCAATTGTCCTCGCAGTCGCAACCCATGCGAAGGCGCTCAAGTACATGAAACACGGGGAGTCAACCCCATGAGTCAGCAGAAATTGTTGCAGTCCGGTCTTTTCCTTTCCTCTATCCACCCCCCGACTATACTGCCCGCGCTATAGTCCTCGCCACCCTAAGTTGAGGCAGCCAAAGGCCGCACGGCGTATACCTAGTGCGGCATTTGGCTGCCTCAACTTAGGGTGGCGAGGACTATAGGTCAAGTGCCAGCTGTACTGGTGTGAAAAGTAACATAATTTTCTGTTAGTCAACATCAAATGTTTGTAGAGTACTGGTTATAAATGCTACTTTTTTGTATCAGAGAAATTGTTAAGCTGCACTTTCCTGATAAACACCACTATGAATACCTTCAGCCATTTTTAGATCTGGAATATTGTTATATTGTCACAATTAATTGTGAAAGATGTAAAGACACTTTGCAAGTGCAAAGTTTGTGGTCGAAAATTTACTATATTTCTGCAATTGCAGAAAAGATTATCATTGTTTTACCTCAAATGCAGTAGATGATGACAATTCCCCCTTGCAAGAGATTTAGGATTCGTAACGAATCCAAAGCCACAAAGCGTTGAGTTGAGAATCACCTATTATTGTTGACAGTTTAAAGACCACTACAGTAGACTCCCTCTTATCCAGACTCCTCGGGACCGAGGCCAGTCCAGATAACAGTTTTTCCGGTTAAACCGATGTCCCCAAAACTCGTTAAAACGAGTTTTGATGACTCGTTTAAATGACTTTGCATACAGTATTTGACTTAAATTTAGGAGAGCATTGTATTTAGACACGTGATCACTGGTCTCAAATATTTACCACGAGAACAGTTTTTCAGTACCGCCCATTTCCTGCCGATCTAGTTCGGTTAAACCGAGTGCTGATAAAAATTTTCCGGTTAAAGAGATGTCATTTACGCTGAGTGTAGTCCGGTTAAAAGGTGTGCGGAGAAGAGGGAGTCTACTGTTTATCACATTATCATTTGTTTTCAGCCTGGACGCTCGGAAGGAACACAATGAGGTTTTGCGGCAACTGTGTGCCACACTGCATAATGATCTGACTCTCGTAAAAGAGGAGAAAATCTCACTTCAGTTACAACTGGACAAACTAAATGCCAAGATTATAACCAGTTAGACCTTCTAGCTAATTAATTAATAATCTCAGTTGTTACAATACGTTGATTGCTGTAAATTTACCCTTCAAAATAGTATTATCGTTAATTTAATGGTTGATGTTATACTGTTTTGCACTAGTGTTATTTTGTATAAATATGTTATTGTAAAAAAAAATATAACAACAGAGCTAGACTGTATGATTTGTTATGTTTTATTTGTTAGCAGCCAAAAACTTACAGTTTGTGTATAAATATTTTTAGGATTTTATATTTGCTCACATATTGCTATGTTAAGTCATTTAAGTGTCCTAAGGCTTACTGATAAGTTTAGAGAGGAGTCTTGGTGATAATAGTATGATAAAGAACAGCAAAGATCTTTTTTTTACTTTTTCTGAAATATATCTAAAAGATATTTACTGTAAATTTAGTTTTCCTTTATAACCAAAGTGTTATTATAAATACATTATATGTCAAAACTGTATGGTGGTTCATAGTTACTACTAAATTAAAACAATGATCACAATTAATTTTTTCTCGCAAATGTCAGGAAAATTAACTTGATTATTTATTAATCATTAATGATTTTTTTTTAAGTGGATATTTCTGTGCAGTAGAACTCCAATTATCTGGATCAGTAGGGATTGGACCCCGTATATAGATTATCAAGAAGCCAGATAAACATATTTTTAAAGAAAAAGTTGTCTAAAATAGAAAAGTAGTTATAAACCAAATTGTAATGTACATTTTTACATGACAATTGCTTAGTAGTTTGTTTATGAGAAGGTGGCATTAGGAAGATGATTACTCGTCCAATAGACTCGCCGCATGATGCACACAATTATTGGCCCACATTTAAATATGTGAATGATTACCACAAACTGCATGCAACAAGAATAAACTTAGTTTTTCTGGTCAATTTCTTTTCTTTTTCTTAAGGTTATCTGGAGGATTGGAGTTTTGATTGTAATTAGAGTTCTACTGTAGTTTTCACGGTCTGAAATCAATGTGCTTTATTTGGATTAGGATCCCCAGAACCAAATATGCAAAGATTTTTCAAATTGTTTGTTACATACCTAGGAATTTTTTTAGTGATCTGTATCCCTAAATAGTACTTTATGGGTTTGGTGGCCAAACCTTCGTACTATTGTGTTCTTCATAGCGAAGCTTGTAGTAAAAATTTATTGATTATAAATATATTAAATAAGTAAAACCCAAAAAGAAATTCTTTATAAATTTTATCTGTAATTTTGCTTCAACAAGTCTATTCATTTTGATAAAACTGCATGTCTATAGTTCTGAAATAAAAACATTTCTTGTAGAAACTTTCAAATTGGTAATAAAGTATGGCCTCAATGGCAATTTTCCCTTATCAATACTAAACTTGCTTGTGAAGCTTTATGTCCTTTATACTTCCCTTTCCATATGTTATCAAACATATGTTATTAACATATAGACCTACTATATTTTGTTGTGTATGATACTAAAAAATTTTAATTTTAAATGCTAGACAAGCCAAGTCAAATTTGCTTAGATTTTTTTTTTATATTTTAAAATCAGTAATTGTCAATTTTATAAAATAAGTAGCCCTATCAATTTGCAAGTTATCTTAATATTCTTATTCTAGTCCTTTAATTATTGTATTATGCTTGCGTAATATCATGAAAGTTATTTGAAGAGAAATATTATAATCTTAACACGTAATTTCTAACGAAGTATATTTCATTACTTTTTAAGTAAGGTCCGTTCGTGCATATCTTTGTACTTTGTGTGTACGCCATAACCAACGATCACATAAGACCAACAGATGGAGCATGTTGGCCGCGACGTCAAGCCAGTATTTTTCACCAATCCTCACTAAGATGGCAGCTGCCGGCTGTGATGAGCCCTAGTAGCACGCGCAGCTAATTAAATGTTAGTCGATAGCAATGGTACCCATGACAATATGCCTTTGTATTACAAATATTTCTGTTACTATCACAATGACCTTCAAAATAAGCTTTTGATTTTTTTTCTAGCGTTTACTGTTTCTTAGAAAAAGTTAGTTTTTATTAGCAACAAAAAAATTTTGGGCGAAAGGAAAATTCTGAAAAGCTACAAGTTTATTTATAATAATATATGTATCTACATCGTATTAAAGTTTGATAAAGTTCTGATGTTTGGTTTACAATGTCCGAATTTTCAAAGTCACAAGATAGTCTCTGAAACTCTTTATACAATTCTCCTTTATATTCTGACTGTCATAATAATTTTTATGAAAGAGTTAAAAAATATTATTTTTTAGATTAATAAAAATAATAAAACTAAGAACATTTATATGTAATCTGTGTTAGCTTAGTAACTTTTCTATATAGCTCCAAACTAGGGTATCTAAACTGTATTACAAGTGAGGTTGAAGGCAGAATCTGCCCACATGACGCAACGCGGCGCGGCGGGTAGCCCCAATATTACAATTTAAATTACAACCAAACTACACCAGCTAAAAATTTTTAAAAATATGATCCAAAAGATTCAATTCTTTAGCTACAAAATCCACCGTTTTTTAACTTACCTGGCCAATAAATTAAAAAAGTAGCAGCCGACAAACTTTTTCATGTCATATTTAAAAACTCATTTGAAAGTACCGACTTTATTTGAAGATTTAAAATAGAAAATGAAAATATTAACTCTTAAGCTTTTTATTAGAACCAACAGTGTCATAGACTTATTGACTTCACTCATACGAAGTTTCAACCATATAACTTTAGTCGAAGTAGGCTAAATGTCGAGTTATTTTGAAGCGGAACGTTGAGTTTTTGTGCCAATTTCATCGACATCCAGCGCTTCTAACCTAAAGTAAGGTGGCAGACCTGGCTTCACCTGCGTTAATGTTAGTTAGATAGGCGTGCTCCATCTATTGGTCTTATGTGATCGTTGGCCGCAACGAGGCGACACGCTGCTTACTAACTCATTGGTGAACAGAATCACGCCACTTGCAACTGTGTAGCTGATAATGGCTATGCTGTTTGCCTAGACATTTTTTTGAAATTATTCAATCTTCCTCTATGCAAAGATAAGAACAGTGATACGTTTTCGACTGCAAGAAAAATCAAAATCCCCAACCCATTTCCGCACTTTACTCTAACTCATTGCAAGGCGAAAAACATCAGTCATTTGGTGATGGATGAGCAGCATTGGATATATTTCTTGCATTCAGAAAACAAACCAAAAAGAAAAGAGACAATAATGTAAAACCTAGCCGGAATGTTCAATAATTCTTAACATTTTCTAGGCACACAGCAAAGCATACACATCAGCTACAGAGCTGAAAATGGGGCAATTCTGTTCACAAATGACGCCAGTAAGCAGCAAACTGTCACGTTGCTGTGTACAGTAGAACTCCGATTATCCGAATCAATTGGGACCAGACCCCATTCGGATAGTCGGAGTTTTACAGGAATTCCGGCAATTTCCAAGAAAATCCTCATTTTCGGTACTAAATGAACTTTTAATTGATAATAAATTAAATCAGAACATTTTTACAGTTTACAATGCTCATAGCACAAGTGTTTATACATGTTCTTAAGTTAATAGTGTTCAATCAAAGTCCAAAATTACACACTGGCTAAATTTGTTTAATAGCAATTCTTTGATATTTTGGGAAACTTATTATTACTGAAGCTTTACGTTTTTTAAAGTTGTTGAAATAACTTATGCGATTCGGATAGTCGGCGATTCGGATAATCGGCGATTCGGATAGTCGGCGATTCGGTTAATTGGAGTTCGGCACTGTACTTGCAGACTATGGAGCTATTTGCACAAACGGCCCCTTAAAATACACCCTCATAATTTCACATTTAGTAGTCATCTACATTTTCTTTCAGCATAAAGTATATAAAAAAAATATTTATTTATACATAGCTGTAACAATAACGTTATATTTTTGTTATGAAAATATTAACATTAAAATATATATCTAGGCCTAGGGTGTTAGTTTGTATATAAATATATTCTGTTTTAATCCCAGAGTCATATTTTATACACTTTACAATTCTGAAGCTATCTTGCCAGAAACTTTTTTATGTTTATACAATGAAAATATAAAATAGTAGATGGGTAATAACTAGTGCTCTAATTATTTATTTAATTTAAAATACACCTAGAAATACTACTTATTTAAATGAATTTTAAAATTTATCACGAAACATCCTGTACAACATTGATGTTGATACACTGTATTTGTTAATAGTTAGTTGTTGATAGTTTTTATTAAGATAGAGATTATATTAAGTCTGCATATGCTGTTAAGAACGCTTTATGAAAGTATACTCAACTTGTTATGGACAAACTGTGGTTGCAATAATGATTTTTTTTAATTTTTTTGCCTAGTAAAAATTGTTATGAGAAAACCAATAGTGACATTGTTTATAAGTATTTACTGCTAAATGTCTATGCTTGTGTCCTTAATTGAAATTGTTAAGTTTACCGTGCAGCTTGTACATATTAAGGCTATATCTTTATTTTTTAAATTGTGAACAGTTTTTGATGGCGCTTGTTATTGACTGACGTTGTGTTGGAAAATTTGTAAATAAATGCCTCATAACATGTTTAATATCTGTGTTTTTATTTTGTGATTCATTATTGAAGTTGGTAAACCTACAGTATCAAATTGCTAGCCAATTCCTTTTAACCATTATAACTCTCTGGATTTTACAGTGATTTCAACTACATTTCTACACTATCTTTAACACACTACTAATTTATGAACACAAAAAAAGCTGGTCACTAAACTGGTAGATTGGATGGTTTAATAATCCATTAAGAAAACCTTTTGAGCTATGGTAAACGAATTTGTGGAGGTACAAGATAACCTGTACTGAAAAAATTACTTCCTCTGAAAGCCAGCAAACCAACTACTCCACCGACTCATCATATCATCTATTGATTATTAAGGCAAATGTGCAAGATAAACCCATTGCTTTGCTTAATAATACTCAAGCACGGGTGAGGCCCATGTGGGTGTAATTATTCTAGGTAAAAAGGGCTGTTAACATAAAAAAAAAACTAAGAAAAAATTTAAAAAATATTTTTATAGACTAGTTGCAAAAATCTTGTTGGAGATAGAAATAGCCTAGTATAGTCAATGATAGAACCCAACGTTAAATGTAGTAAATGTTTGTTTTTTAAACCTTTTTAATGATGTACTATAAAACCTGTTGCTATTTGAGTTTAGATTCAAAGATTTATTTCAACTAGAAACAGATTGTACAGTTGATGTCAAGATATTAAGACTAACAAGTAGGAATTAACAGGGGGTGAATAAGGATCAACAATGTAATCTATTATCTCTTCTTTTATTCACTTGTATGTAAGCTCTTACATTTCCTGTATTTTTCAAGTTAGTAAACTTTGTCGTAGTGGTACATTTAAGGGTATTTTTGGAAAGGGTGCCTTTCCATTAATCTGAGATAAAAATGGTGATTCATTCCTCAGATTGATATAGGCGGTTCCAATAAAATCAACTGTAAGACACTGAATTTTAAAGATTTTTGAACACCTTGTACATGACCATTAAGATAAATTTAAAATGTTTTTTTATCAAAATGCTCATTGAACAAATGCCTTGAAAATGAGGTGTCGCTTAACCTACATTTGAACATTTTCCAAAAACTACCCTCACCATGAGAATATAAGATACTACGAGACGTAGGAATTGGCTAACTCTGGAACTCGCTAACTCGGTCGTGTGTCGGAACTGGCTAACTCTGGAACTGGCTAACCGTCCCAGTCAGGAATTGGCTAACTCCGGAACCCGCTAACTCGATTTTGTCCCGCGGCGGAATTCGCTAACTCTGGAAGTCGCTAACCCGGCCGCGCCCACTGCACGGAGCGTTGCCAACCTTGCACGACGAAATAGTCGTAATCTGCCGTAATTCAAAACGTCAGTGTCAATAAAGATAATTGTTTCGGTATTTGTTTCTATTATCAAATCCATTAGGGGGAATATAATAGCTACGTAGCTCAAAGCAATTAAAATGCAATTATAACATCATTAAGAAGTTATTTATTATGTTGGTTCACCTTGTGATTGTTTCTTGATGATTGTAGAGTTTTATTGAAAGTTTTATCCAAGAACATGGCAATCATAAGGTAAACCAACATAATAAATCCTTTGTTCTTGAAACTGGGAATGCCACATAAATTCTAAGGGGTTATATGGTTTTGTATTTTGCTGTTACAAGTCCAATGAAATTGTGTTATATGATTTGTATCTAAAATGAATGCCAGTGTTATAGGAAAATAGCAATACATGAAAATTAGTGAGAATAGTAGACCTACCAACTAAACCACGAAGAGATTGTAAATGTAAGTGAGCTCTCAAACACGGATACACAATTTAATCGTGATGTAATTGACCCTTGTCTAATAAAGCCTTTAACCGTGTTTTATAAGTAATTCTTCAAATTAAAGGTTCGTTGTTGACTCGTCAAACTTATGTGTAAAAATATTACATACGTTTCATAACAGTTAATAGAATAATTGTAGGCTAAACCTAGGCAATTGACAACTAAAGCAATGTAAACCTAGACCTACATGCAAAAAGCTAGTTTTTTTTTTAGCCTAATCCTAAGATTTGTTTAATTTATTATTAATTTTTTTATATGATTTGGTGTTGGAAGAAGGATAGATTTAAGAAAGGTAAAGTCAAGGTCATTTTAGTTTAGGGTTTCAGTTTTGTAGATGTCAACAACTGTGTATTTTTTTAAATAGTATCCGTCGTTATTATTTTGAGTAACTTTTAATGTGGTTTACAGTGGGTTTCTAAGTGTCGCAAAAATGTCAACTTTACAAGTTGTTTACAAAAGTATGCCTATCTATTTATATGAAATCAAATGATGAAAAACAAATCTTCTCCAAATGGGTTTCGAACCTGATATCTACGTGTCGTGAGCCTCTTACCTTACCTCTAAACTATTTGTTTATTGACACAATGTGTTTTCAAGCGGTCAAATAACAGCCGACAGTTGCAATGGTCGCAATACTTAAAATATTTTTGATACTATGATTCCGTTATGACATCAAGTAGTTGAATTGTTTTTCTGGAGTTGGAGAGGAGACTATTATTTTAATATAGATTCATTAATTACAATTAGTAATGTTATTACTGTATGATACATTTGTAAATGCCTAATTAATTAATTTTTCCCCTAAAAATGTTCAACTACTAAATGTAGAGTGGAAATGAAAACCGGGTTAAGTGCCAAAAACATCTTTTTGAGTTATTGCAAAAAATATCAATAAAACCATTACTGTTAATTTTTTTATACCAGATTATTTACAGTAGCTACAACAAAAGATGAGTAATCATAATTTTATGAAACAACTATTTTTAAAAGTCACTAATAGAATTTATAAACTTTTAAAGTTACACATTTGAGACAAGGGGTATGTCCATAATCATAGTGGTGAAAAGCGAGCTAAGTACATATACTTCAAAACCATAAAACGGGGTATGTGCAGAGTTAGTAAACATAAAAGATTCTAAATATTTTAACATTTCAGACGGGTAAAATATAAATTAAACAAAATAATATTGAAATCAAGTTTTATTATCATAAAACATCATAAAACCCGTAAAAAACATGAAAGGGTAAACGACAAATGTGTTGGTTTTAGGTATAAAAATTTAACAGTTAACTCTCTGTAAAAGTGTTTACACATTCTTCCTTCAGAAATGGTATCATATTCTTAAGTTCATATTTCTTCTCTTTTTTTCATTTTGTTTGTAGCATTCAAGGACTTGTGGTAGGTGTTTCAGAGCCTCTAGCTGCACATTTTCTTTAAAACTTTTATTTTTTACATGGCTCCAATTCACTGAATGTTTTTTAGGAGTTTCTTCATAGGATTAACTTCTACTAACTCTGTATCACCCACACCTCTACCAACACTGCCGGAACATTGCATAGCTTCAAAATGGGTTGTAAAGACGCTTGGCACATAGCCCGGTTTTCATTTCCTCAGCTGATGAAGTTGACCCATGCGCATTCTAGTGGCCACTGTTTAAACGTCTTGGAGCTATTGTTTTGCAGATAACCCGCTTTTTAACGTATTGGGCTTGGCAGATAGCACACATTTTGACACTTAACTCATTTTTTTTATTTTTTGGCACTTAGCCCGGTTTTCATTTCCACTCTACAAATATTTGCTTAAATAAATTAACAAACATTAATTAATGCAATTATTTGCATTTATTATTATTATGTTAACCCGTTGTTGCCCAACCACTGAAAAATTGGAAAAATAAGACAATATTTGCTGGAAGATGTTTTTATGGATCAAATTAAGTTATTAAATATCTCCATGGTTACTTGTAACAGAAAAAAAATATTATTTGGGACTTGAGGGTCCCGTTTGGGGGACTTAAGAGTCCCGTCGGTCGACAAAGGGCTAGTACCCTATGGAGTCCAGTATGTGCTGCAGCCTGGTGGACTAAGTTTGAACTACAAGGACATGTTGAAACTGTTGCTAGGCAACAGCTACAACCAATAGCAACCCTAGAATGGCCTAATTGGCAGCAGCTGTTCTGAAAAAGCAATGCTGGGACTTAATAGTCCCGTCGGTCGACAAAGGGTAAGCAGGTGTTCAACTATATCTAGTCAACGCTAGTACTCAATCATCTAGTACAACTATCACAACATCATCTGTTTACATTTATTATAGATCAAATTGCTCTACAACCGTCTTAAATATTCTGCAGATTCTGCTGCAGTGGCAAGGGGTGGGGTTTGGGGTCACCCCCCCCCCTTGACGAAAGGATTTTGCCCATAAAAGATCATAAAACCTCATAATAGTCCTAACTGTATAAATGTACATTATTGTGATTATTAATTTGCTTTTCGCATAGTCAAAGTAAGTTACAACTACAGTATTATTGCTCAATAATATTAGTTTGTCATTAACATCTTAGTTCAGTAATAAAAACTGTAACGTTTAAAATAACAACTACCGCAAGTTTTACTTTACTCATTGACCTTGAAGCTATCAGCCGATTCTTTTTATGCTTCCACTTTATGTTTGTCAAATAAAAATTGTGACGTTTCAAAAACAATAATGTGAGAACCTAATGCATGTAAATAATGGTAAAACCCTAGTAAAATTAAATAAATATACAATGCATTTCAACACATTAGCATTAGACTATAGAAAGAAACACAATTTATAATATGATCTTGGGAATTTAATGAATAATGTGCATTAGAAGAGGCAGGTGACAGAAAATGATTGAGGAGACGTGTTGTTAGTTTGCAAGGCCAAAAAATTAGTACTACCAGCGGGATGCGAACCCCGCACCTTCAGGGTGTCACATTATTAATGTGACAGGGTTGGTAGCTCGTTTCTAAATCATACCATTATAATGATCAATAGCTCAAATGTAAACCCTTTTATCACAGAATATTTTAAGGCTAGAACAAACTGCAAGCTGTAAAAACTGGAGATAAAGAAAAATTGTCTACAAACATGTTCAAACTACGAAACGTCCATAAGAAATGTATGGGGGTACGACTTTTTTGTTTTGTAGTCTTTTTGCATTGCCTGTTTTGATATGTTTTTTATTTATTTATTTATTTATTAAACATCATCACATTACATCAATTCTCTTGACAGGTGATTTGTCACAAAGTCTAATACTAATACTATACTACATTTTAAAATAAAATAGCTTACAAAAGAAATAAAGCATATAATAAGCTAAAAACCTATGGGAGAAGCAATATCTTTCAAATATACTCATTTTCCAGATATTCCTCTAACGAGTAAAATGCCCTCTCCAAAAGGAAATTTTTTAAAGATAGTTTAAATTTAGAGAATGAGGCAATGTTTTTAATCCCAGCGGGTAATTTATTGTAAATTTTTGGTCCCATATACTGAGGGGATAAATGAAAGATTTTAAGCCTATGTTGAACTGGTTTTATAATATTTTTGAATCTTGTGTTATGTGGATGAGATTGTTGACAGTCCATGAATGTGTCGAAATCACTTTTAACCATTAATGCCAATTTGTAAATATAAGAGCTAAAAAAAGTTAAAATTTTAAAATTAATAAATAAATCTTTACAATGTGTTCTACGGGAGACTCTGGCCATTAATCTTACAGCTCTTTTTTGGAGAATAAATATTTTTTTGGCCTGGCTTGATGAGCCCCATACATAATTCCATAATTCATAATCGATGAAAAATATGCGTGATATACTACTATTTGTGTTTCTAGATTAGTAGTATCCCGAATTATTGTGAGAACAAATGTTGCTGAGCGTAGTCTTTTTGATAGGTTTTTAATGTGTTTTTGCCAATTTAGTTGTGAATCGATTTCTATTCCCAAATAATTTATTGACTGTTGTGAATGAATTGTAGTTAAGTTTGTATTTACAATTATTTCTTGGTTAATATTGGATGCAGAAAACTGAATTAGTTGAGTTTTTGCCACATTCATGGACAGGCCATTTACTGCAAACCAATCCCCAAGGAGTTGAAATTCCTTAGTTATTGAGGCTTGAATGAACTCATTGTTTTGTCCTGTGCATATTAAAGCGGTATCATCTGCGTATTGAAAGGTGGACATCTTTTTTTTTTTTTTTTTTTTTTTTTTTTTTTTTTTTAGGGTGAGGAGGGAAAATGCTTTTACGCACACAGGTAGCCAGCCTGTAGTGTGAGACTCCTGAGTTTATCACAGACTACTCACTAAAAAACCCCCTCTACTCTGTTGGACACAGACCTGGAATTGTTTGTCACATTACTTCAAGTCAGGCCAACATGTGACCTAAGCCCACAGGGCTCGCACCGTTTCTGGCATTATTTATTTTTTGACCTACACCGCATCCCGGTCGAGGTCAAGCTTCTTGGCGCGGAGAACACCCTGGATGTAAAGTGACACACAGGTCCAATTGTCCTCACCCTCCATCATCATCGGTATGACCGTGTCCACCGACAGCAGTCCTACGAACTGTTGAGCCTCTAGGCGGGGCCTTTCCCAATGCTGGCAGTGGAAGAAAGTGTGTTCCACGTCATCGGGAATGCCTGGGCAGTATATGCAATCGGGTGACACGGCTTTGCCCATCCTGAACAAGTACGACCGGAAAAAGCCGTGACCCGTCAGAAATTGGGTGAGGTAGAAGTTCACCTCTCCGCACCGCCGATTAACCCAAGGTTGGACCTGTTGTATCAGTCGCCTGGTCCAGAGCCCCCTTGTCTCCTGTTCCCAGCTCTCCTGCCACAGCTGGAAGGTCCGGGTGCGTTCCTCAATACTTGCCTGGTCCTCCCCACGGCGCTGATAAATTGCCTTCCTCTCCGCCGCCAAAAGTTTGACGGGGATGACTCCAGCAACCACCAGGACGGCGGGTTCGGACACTGTTCGATAGGCAGATGCTACCCTTAGTGCTGCCTGACGCTGCACTCGGGCGAGCCGCATCCTATATACCTCCTTATTGAGAGCGTCTGCCCAGACCTCCGCACCGTACAGGAGCACTGACTGGACCGCAGACATCAACAGCCTTCTGCGGCTGGACCGTGGACCTCCGACATTGGCCATTAACCGACTAAGGGAAGAAACCATTTTAGCGGCCTTGTCCGCCGTACGGGTGATCTGGTCTCGCCAGCTGAGCTTGCTGTCCACCATGACCCCAAGGTACTTTGCGGCACGAGTGGTTTGGACTTCAACGTTCCCCACCATCAAAGGCACGATGGTGTCAATCCTCTTTTTAGTCAGAATGACAATCTCAGTTTTGCTCAGAGCGAGCGAGAGACCATGTTCTGCCATCCATGCGTTAATGGTTCGCATGACTCGATTTAGTTTCAGCTGGGCAAGCTCAATGCTACGTGCAGCTATTAAAGCCGCAACGTCATCTGCATACCCAACTAGGACGGTTTCCTCAGGCATCTCGGATCTCAAGAGGCTGTCGTAGGCGACGTTCCAGAGGTCCGGGCCCAGTATGGATCCTTGAGCAGCACCAGAAGTTACATCCATCGTCCTGGAGCCTTCTGTAGTGTCGTAAATGATGAGGCGGTACCGGAGGTAGTCCTCTATCATGCGCATGAGGTATGCCGGGACGTGGAAAGTGTTCTCCAGTGCGTCGAGCATATCGCACCACCTCGCGGAATTAAATGCGTTTCGCACATCAAGTGTTACAAGCAGCACAACCCGACGAGAATAGTTGTTAAACTCCTCAGCTCTCATTACGGCTCGCTTTACCTCCTCAATAGCGTCAACCGTTGACCGTCCCTTCCTGAAACCGTACTGACGAGGGGATAGATTCCCTGCAGCAACCACGGCTGAATTCAGTCGGGAACGGATCAACTTTTCCAAGACTTTCCCAGCAGTGTCCAACATACAGAGAGGTCTGTAAGAGGAGGGTAGGTCTGGGTTTCCTTTTCCCTTCCCCACGAGCACAAGCCTAGCTGTTTTCCAGCAGAAGGGAAACTTCCCCTCGGCCAGACAGGCATTGTACGTGCTCAAAAGGATTTGTGGGTTTATTGAAAAGACTTTCTTCAGGGCCTCACCAGGTACCCCATCCGGTCCAGGAGCCTTGTTGTTCTTCAGGGACAGAACGGCCGCCTCCAACTCCTCGAGACTGAAAAGCGGTACGTCGTCCACCCTTCCGAACTCCCGCAATGGACGCAGTGTGTGAGTCGGGAAAAGGGACTTTACGATCCTCTCCATAGAGGCCCCGTCCATAACGGAAGGTGGAGAGCGGGTGCCAAGCTTCTTGGTTACTATCTTGTAACCAAGGCCCCACGGATCGGAATCGACATCGTCCCTTAATTTCTCCCAGCAACTGCGTTTGCTCCGGTTAATGGCCCGGCGAAGAGACTTCCTTGCCACCTTGTAAGCGTCAGACTTAAGACGTCTATCTTCAGGTTCTCTAGCCCTGGTAGCAAGACGTCTGGCTCTCAATGCTGCCCGTCGTAGTTCTGCGATCTCGGTTGTCCACCAGTACACAGGTCGCTTATCGCACCGGGATATCCTGCGAGGCATTGACTCTTCGCAGGCCGAGACTATCAGCCTCATCAATGATGTAACTGATGTCTCTGCGTGAGCCACGCCGGATGCAGCAGGTACCACTGGCTCTCCCCGTAGTATGACTTCGGTGAATTTGGCCACGTCCAGCTTTTTGGTGTTCCACCGAACGGGCACCTGCCGAGACACGGTAGCTTGTCTCTGATGACTATCCATGACATCAAAAATGATGTACTGGTGGTCACTGGCCGTATAATCCTCTAGGACTCTCCAGGCTCGTATCCTCGGCAAGAGGGACTCAGATGCAAGCGTGATGTCTGGGATCGTTCCCCTCATTCCGGGACGCTGGAAAGTTGGCGTGTTGCCCTCGTTTATGACAACAAGTCCAGCCCTGGCAGCAAAGTCCAGGATGTACTTCCCCCGGGAATTAGTGAGAGTCATTCCCCACTCGACAGCCCTAGCATTGAAATCCCCCGCCACGACAACGTGCCCGGCGGTATCGCGCACGCTCTCTTCCAGGCGGTCTATCTTTCCACGAAAGTCACGGATAGCCTCGTTGGGGGTGAGGTATACACTAAAGTAAGTGACATCCCCGCACCGGACCCAAACGAATCCTCGGCCCTTCGCGTGACTCCTTACCTGCACTTTAGCTGTATTACGAACCCAGAACGCAGCAGTACCAAGTGTATCGGGAAACCAAAGAGATGGGTCCCTGTCCCGGTACTGGTACTGTTCGCTGACCAAGAGCGCGTCAACACCGTGTTCGAGGGCAAGCTGACTGAGAAGCGCGTCAGCCGTCCTGGATCGATCTACATTGCACTGGAGGATCCTTATCTTCGTGGTTGGGCTTTCGCTTGTTGTAGTGCGCCTTTAAATGCACTGCACTGCCCAGACCCAG